TGAGAATAAATTTAAACAGTTCGCAAAAAATATGAAATTAAACAGAATGACAAATTTACATGTAAATAACCGTGCCTGTCACCATTTTCTTATTTATTACCACAATAATATTTATGTGCAACATGTGAACAGTACAAAACTTAAACACAACTAGAAATGGTGATTCTGCATGTGAAACAAGGAAATAGTAGACACCTACAGCCAGAATACTCAGATAGCTTTTAAATCCACATATTATGTGGAGTTAACTTCATTTGATTTATATAATTTGATCAAAAGGCGATGAAATAGTGAAGGGAAGAACATCATGTTGGCACTCTCCTCACTCCACATGACCTGAAACCACAAGGGTACCAAATGCCCCACGGTTATCTCAGGGGGAAGGGATATGCCCAGCCCCCAGGCAGTAAAATTCAAATGCCCCACCCCCAAGATTGCAATGTTCACAAGCAAATGATTCTAAGTTCCTTGGTGGCATGAAGTGTTTGCAGTGAAACTGAGGATAAAACCCTTAAAGAAATCATAAGATACATATTTCACCTAAAATACAAGACAAAAGCCCACAGATAGGCAACTTAAATTTGTCCAAACTAATGATCAATATAAATGTCCAGTTTGAACTAAATCCAAATTAAGNCCTCTAAACAGAAGTTATTACTTTTTTATTAAACACCTACTAAGAATATGCCAAGTCTGTCCCACAGAAATGAGAATAAATTTAAACAGTTCGCAAAAAATATGAAATTAAACAGAATGATAAGTTTACATGTAAATAACCGTGCCTGTCACCATTTTCTTATTTACTACCACAATAATATTTACGTGCAACATGTGAACAGTACGAAACTTAAACACAACTAGAGATGGTGATTCTGCATGTGAAACAAGGAAATAGTAGATACCTGCAGCCAGAATACTCAGATAGCTTTTAAATCCATATATTATGTGGAACTAACTTCATTTGATTTATATAATTTGATCAAAAGGCGATGAAATAGTGAAGGGAAGAACATCATGTTTGCACTCTCCTTACTCCACATGACCTGAAACCACAAGGGTACCAAATGCCCCAGGGTTATCTCAGGGGGAAGGGATATGCCTAGCCCACGCGCAGTAAAATTCAAATGCCCCACCCCCAAGATTGCAATGTTAACAAGCAACTGATTCTAAGTTCCTTGGTGGCATGAAGTGTTTGCAGTGAAACTCAGGATAAAACCCTTAAAGAAATCATAAGATACATATTTCACCTAAAATACAAGACAAAAGCCCAAATATAGGCAACTTAAATTTGTCCAAACTAATGATCAATATAAATGTCCAGTTTGAACTAAATCCAAATTAAGAATGTCTCAGAACACCACCAAGATTATATAGAACCACCAAATGAAATAAAAGATTATGTTTGAGGCTAATTAAGCTTACCCTGTGAAGAAGCAACCTTCACATGGTGACTTCATATCCTCAAAACGCCCCTCAACACCACCTCTTGGTAACTACGCTTCTCAGAAAAGTGTACAGCATTTCTTTCTTTCCTGTAACTCATAACCCACTTATGTGATCTACTTCAGTTAAACTCAGCGAGATGATTTTTTCCAATTTTACACCTCTGCTCCATTTTCACATAACCTACCCTTACATTGGACAATCAGTGATGTATAGAAAAATAACTATTAAAAGTACTACTATTTGTTGCATTATTTTGGTCTCCCAGCATACTAATATTATGAAATAAAAACAGTATTCAAAGCCCTACAATAATAATTATTGTTGAAAAGTTAGCTTAACCAGTCCATCTCACTAAAGAGGAAATGTCAGCTTAATAAGTCCATGTTGTCAGTAGTCTTCTTTGCCAACAGTCAATGTGGAAGAACTTTGTAAGGGTTCAAAATTCCCTTGGGATCAAAAAGTTGTTTGAGGCCTTTCATAAGTGTGACTGATGACGACGACTGTGAAAAATGTATGTAGTTTGCTTTCTTGAATCCCAGGCCATGCTCTGCACTAATACTTCCACAATGATTTGCCGTCCATTCGTAAACATATGGCTCAATTGAGTTCAACACTTCATCACTATGATGATTTGTTGTAAAGTTCAAATGCAAGTTTCCATCTCCAAGGTGGCCATATCCAACAACATTAGTCACCTTGTCACCCAGTTTTTCTCTCATGTGGGACACAAGCTCATACATCTTTGGCAATGGAAGTGACAGATCATACTTGTAGACCGCACCACAGTACATCAAGGCCTCCGCTATTCTTTCTCTTAGGTCCCACACTGCGTTTATCTTTGAGAGGTCTGTTGCCAGTGTTCCATCCTGGGCAGTATTCTGAGCCATAACTTTCTCAAGAAATCCATCAAGTTTCTGTTCATCATGAGTGCTGTTTGAACCAGATGTCTCCAACAGAACATAAAAGGGCTGTTTACTAATTGGATTATGCAGTCCAAGGTGCATTTCCACAAGGTTCATACAAAAGTCATCCAGGAATTCAAACGCTGACAAGATTTCCCCCAACATACCCCTTGCCAGTTTATATATCTTGAGTACATCTGAGAAGGTCTCACAACCAAGGAAAGCAACATTTACTGTCTTTGGTCTTGTTGGAACCAGGATTGATGCAGCTGTTATGATACCTAGTGTGCCTTCTGAACCGATGAATAGCTGCTTAACATCATATCCTGTGTTATTCTTCCGCAATGAAGAAAGACAGTCAAGTATGGTACCATCTGAAAGAACCACTTCAAGTCCCAGAACACTGCCATGTAGGGAGCCATATCGCAACAGTCTCAAACCCCCAGCATTTGTTGCTATATTTCCACCAATATGACAACTTCCCTTTGCTCCTAAGTCCAATGGCATAACAAAGCCTCGATCTTCCATCATGTTCTCCAGAGACTCTAAAATACAACCAGCTTGACAAATGAGGATGCCTGAAACATCATCAAAGCTCAACACTTGATTCATCAACGACGTAGATAAGATTATTTCATCAAATACAGGGACACTTCCACCAACTAAACCAGTGTTTCCACCTTGAGGGACTACTGCTAATCTTCGTGAGTTGCAGTAGGTCAAAATATCTGAAACTTCTTTGGTAGTTTTTGGCTTCAAAAGCACCTTACTTGTTCCTTTGACCATTTTCAGCCAGTCAACATTATGCGGTGCTATTTCTTGCGGATCTGTTACTACCCTGGAAGGAATAAAACTTTCAAAAGCTTTAATATCATCATCTGTCACCTTTGAATAATTTCCTCTCTTGGGGTACCGGGCACTTGTTGAGCAATAACGTTGAGACGTGACCTTCATGGAATACTGCAGGTACCTCCACAGCCGAGCACCCCACATTATCAGTTCTTACAAGAACTACTTCGTTCAGTGCCAGTGGTCTTTGGTGTTATCCCGCTTGGCCCTATGCAGAACGTGTACCAATACAGTTATGTCCTCTGTGGTAGACATTAGACTTTCCATCTCTGAATGCACCCAAATCCGAGAGCTTCCATAGCGGCGACGTCGCTCTTGTCGCAGGAAAGTTCTCACGTGGGACAAATCTACCTCTCAACTCAAAAACGTTTTCCAATTGGTGGAGAAAGTATCACGTGCCATAGGTCAAAACTGGCGGGGAGCAAAACTCACCAGTGCACCAGTGAGTAAATTTCGACTGCCAGCCGGCGTCAAGCAAACGAGTTTTGAATTAATCGGGTATCGGATACCGCAGCAAGAAAGAAATGGCTGCACAGTCTTATTCACAAGGCATCAATCAACAAGAGTGTGTCAGGCTTTTTCGATATTCTGATTGGTTGTCATTCACATCTAAAGTTGGAGCAGCTAACTGATATGCGAGACGTGTTGCGTAAATGGACGCCAAGGGAAAAATATTTTAATTATCAAAATTCTGAAAATTTCCTGACAACATTTCGTCAGTCATTATCCCGGGAATGTTTTAGCGAAATTTCAGGAAAATCCGTCAAATCTGTATACCCTGTAAATTCGCTCAAAGTGGATGTATTACTTCCAAAATCAAATGCGAGATTTTAGCTCGTAAACGACTGGCGCCACGCCTGGAGATTAGGGAGTTTAAGAAAACCACGACGGCAACGGCAACGGGAACGTCGCTAAACAAAAGATTTAATTAGGAGAACAATGGCTGTGCATGTGCGTTATAATTCTTGGTACATTTCTTTACCGTCCTCGGCAAACAACAACGTGAAATGACCAAATTTCGCGTTGTCTGGAGAACGTGAACCACGAAGGCTATTTTTCAATTTTCAATTTGAATTCATCGATGTGTCCTAGATTCAGTTTCGTGATAGTTTTGACAGTGTTAAACAAAGTTAATGACTCTAGGGTATCGCGAGATTCCTAGGTAAGATATATAATCATTTTTTAATCGACGTCGTCTTCGGCGTCGCCGTCGTGGTTTCTTAAGCTCCCTCCTAAGGGTCTTGGGGCCAGTCATTATTAAAGTGCTAGCTAGTGCTTATTGAATTTTTATAGCCTCTACGATTGGTCAGATGCAAGTTTATTTGCTTCCAAATAAAAAACAGGAGGGCAATAAAGACTTGCGTGCGCTTGCGTTGAGGGGGAGGGGGACGGGGGCGGGGGGTTTTATCTTAAACTTTTGGTAACTCTAACGAGATCTAACGAGGGTGATGGGTGTCTATTGGAAAGAGGTTTCTTTTTGGGATAGGATGCTCATTGCATTTGTTTGTTTGTTTTCTGATCGGTTTGTTATTTTATCTGGAATATTTGAATTTCCCAAAACAAATCATTATCATCCTATAACTACAAAACTGAGTCAGTTAGGTGTTCAATCAAATAGTCCCTGTTGCAACAAGCCATGTAAATACAGCACGGGGATCTGGAGGGATCTATTGCTCTGACTCTATCGTGCTTAGATTAGGCCCTCTAAGGTAGGCCAAAAACAACGCCACCTACCTTCGAATGTCACAATTGTCTAGACCTGTTCTAAAACCTTGCCGAGGCTAAATATCTAATGGCAGCGATCAGTTCCAAAAGAAAATACACAAAATTAACCGTCACGGTCCACGTTGTCCAATAAACGCAGAACCCTGTCACTTCACGTCGTTGTTTTGCAGAGGAGACCCCACATTATCACGTGGCATACGCGCATCGCATCCTTTGAGCTAGCATCTAGAGAACCCTCCCTACCTAAGACCAAAATAAAGAACGAGGGCTCTGGAAACGTCACTGGCATGAAATTTGAAAATCGTCCTCGTATTCGGTCGTACTCGGTCAATCTCGTATTTGTGGCAACTCAAACGAGGGGGAGGGGATTTACGGGAACGAGGTACTTTTTGGGACAGAATGCTCATTGACTTTGTTTGGCTTATTTGTTTTTTGTCGCTTTTGCTATTTACTGTCGAACCTTCCACTAACGGCCGACCTCTCAACTCCAGCCACACTTTT